AATTAGGACTCTGGGTTTTTTCGAACTTTTTCGATAATTTCTCATTTTACGTGTTTCAGACTCTTTCGGGTAGGTCCATGGATCCATGTGTGATTGGTTTGTGTTTTTGAGCTTTGTTTGTTGGGTATTTGCTATTATAAATATGTATGCTTGCAGGTGTTACAATCTTAGAGCTTACAGCAAAAAGGGAGAGCAAGGGTTTAAAGGCATAACATAGGATTTTGGTTATTCTCAAGGGAAACCTTAGAAATGTAAGGGTTTTAGAAACCTTTGGAGTTATTTAAGGGAATTGGGGAATTGGGAAACACTTTTTTATACCTTGGGTTTTAGTTATTCTTATATTGAAGGTAGAAGAGGTTGAGAAACATTTGGGTAGAAAATAAGGTTAACTTTGGGAGCCTTCAGGGTTGTTCTTGGGAACCTGAAGGCAGATACGATTTTCTTGTGACCCATTTGTATTCTCTTGTAACAAATTTCTAAATATATTGAATTGGAAAGCTTCTCTCTCCCCTAGAGTATATCGTTTGATCAAACTGGGTAAACAAACCTTTGTCTTTTTCTCACCTTATTCTGTTATATTATCTATATACAAATTATTATTATTGTAGATCATTTACTTTGATTACTATTATTTTCCTCACAAATTGATATTGAATTTTGTCATAATTCACAACAAGATTCACAACAAACAACATACTCCACCACCTTGGATCACTTTGACAATACCACCAAGTACATAGATCCACAACTTCCACAATATTTCTTTCTTTCCATTCTGTTTTTCCTTATTTCTCTATTCATTCCTTATTTATTTTACAAGCTTGTTTTAAATTAGGATTTTATCAAAAAAAAAATTATCCGAACATCATTTTCCAAACCAACACAATTCACCCCTTCTATGTTTGGAGCTACTTGTCTAACAAGTGGTATCAGAGTCTAACTCTTGTGTAAGGACTACTTGTCTCAAGAGAAAGATGATGGATACAAATACTTATGCTTTTAACAAAGTTCATTTCATAGATACACCTTCACCATTTGGTGGTGAAAGGTTTGAATTGTAGGAACAAATATTTGAAAGTTTTATAATATTAAATAATTTATAAATGTAGGATGTTTTAATCAATGGCCTATTTATTCCTACTTTTTCCTTCAATGATAAAGTACTAAATAAATCTATTTTTCTTTGGACCGAAGAAAATAAGAGAAAAGTGACTCTTAGTTTTAAAGTAAAGAATCGTTTGATAAATTCTTTAAGTTCTAAGGAATTTTGTTACGTATTTAATTGTAATTCCTCAAAAGAAGTGTGTGACACTCTTGATATGATTTATGGAGGTTTTCTAAGGATTGATCAAGAGAGAATAAACGCATAAGTCTAGGAAGTTGGAATGCCAAATTAATATGAGAGTCATTCTCATAGACAATACTCAACCCTTGGAGGATATATTATAAATTTTATATCTAATAACTATCTAATATTTAAAATATGGAATCAGAAATATAATAAAATCCTTAATTCAAAATATAATAATGTCTATGTTGAGTTTTGGGAAAAAACAAGAAAGGATGAGATAGTTAAGAAACTCAAGGAGTTGATCCTACTACTCAAGGAAGAATAAGAAAGATTGAACATTCTTAAATGATATTTATCTTACTCATTATCGTCATCTTCATCAAGAGAAACACTCGAAATAATTTGGTTACCAAAGGTGAAAATTTGATCTATTTTGTAGGTAATGCTTTGGAGCTTTGAAGTTCCTTATTGCAAATTTAATAAAGTTGTGCAAATCATGTGTATACTATGAGTATAAAAGAGAAGTATTATGATCACTAATGATCCTGGTAATATTTGATCTAACTATTAGCATTGATGTTAGTGCTCAACACCTGTATTTGATCAAGCTATTAGCATTGACAGCGGTGCTCAAGAATCGTGTTTGACCAAGTTATTCTTTGGCATTGATAGTCATGTTCTACAAATTATGATGGTCATGATATCTATGGATTCTGATGATCCTTGATGATCATATCACTCCTGATGATGTTTTAGCCAACTATCATATCAAGCCATCTGCAGAGATGGAATTTTTATAATGGCTTCGAAACAACTGGCTGAAAATCATTGAACAATGAAGTTTCCATCGAACGTCTTTTATCCCACATGAAGGGAAAGGTGAACATCGAGAAAACCTGAGAAAGGAGAAGTCACAATCTTGTGATCAAGAGATCGGGTAAGGGAGTCTGTTACGCAAGGGAAGGGTATTAGCACCCCATATGCCCGTAGTACTCTATAGTATCCACTCTTGTTATCTATCTTATGGGTGTGCTTAATCTATGTCTACTGCTTAGTACTGAGGAAGGATGCATACACAATAAAAGAGAAAATAATGTAGGGAAAATAAAGTTGTGCTCGCTTGGATCCTACCCCAATGCCTACATATCCTTTTTGAGGAATCAGAGTTACGGTAGTTCGGCTCACATGTTTTTATTTGTTGTGTTTTTTATGGGTGACGAACCCTTGTGAAAACGGTTTTAAGTTACGCCCTCAAGGAAATATGCCATGTTTGATTAGTTTGTTTTTTATTACCTTGAAAAAGGGTTTAAGTGTGATTATCATGTTTTATGATTTTCTAAGAAAAAGAAATTTTTGGTTTTAAATGCAAATGTAAAAGGTGGTTGAAAAGAATCTATGGGAGACTAGCCTATTTCTAATCCAAATGTTATCATACAATGGTAGTCCTAAGGTTTGGATTAACATAAAGGAAACATCTACCTAATGTTAGCATGCATGGCTTCCAACCTAAGGTCTAACTTGCACTTGAAAGGAACAAGCACATCCTAAGGGAACATGGTATAGAAAGAGAGTGAGCAAACAAGCTCGAAAGAGCACACACATGAAATGGTAAAGAAAAGAAGTGAAATGCTTTAGTCAAGGGAAGCGGATCACTTGAGACAAACAAGCGGGAATAATATGAAAAATAATTTGATGTCCAAAGTGACTGAACACCTAACCAAGATATAGAAGATCGAGGTAGGAGACAGAAGGAAATATGAACAATCACAGAGTGTCAGCATCGACCAATGCGAACTCCTGACAAAGTGTGAGGGTTCGATTGCAAAACCCTTTTCCACTTGATGACTCGATAACAAGATTAGGCATAAATTCGAAGCATCGTAGTGTGTCACGAGCTAAGGATGACACAGACGAAATTGCGAGGGTTGATTGCTAACCCTTTCTGCTCGCCTCCTTTTGAGGACTTATCATTTATAACATATGCGAGCACAAATGTAAACACACCTGCAAAATACCTACACAAAGGTAGGGTTTAAACAAACTACACACAAGTATAACACAGTGGCAAATAATGCAGAATTCCCTAAACAGGTCTTTAAACAAACCATAGGGGTTCCTGACATGATCATCAACGGAGACCTCCATCATACATCTCTATCCTACTTCTCATGGAAAGGAAAGCGGTAAAGAGATGCGATAAAGTGCGAAAAATGTAAAAGTAGTAGCAGCGACTACCAAAATCAAGCGGATCATCGAAAGCGGATGAAAGCAACGGAGAAGCAGGGAGCACGCGTTCGACAAGCTTCACCAAGAAACAAACAAAGTCAAATATGAAATCCAACTAAGCTAAAAGCACACGCATGTTACGAATGCAACTCGTAATCAGAAGTTCCTGCTCAAAGTATCACAAAATATCACATGCATCTAGATAACATATAATATGATATGAAATTCTCAGAACGATGAGAAATAAGTTGTGTCGCATCAGAAGCGAGCATAAGCCATATGCTTCGATCACATAACAACCTGTTATGTTATATGATCGAAAGCACCAAAATGTACCTTGCACAATGAATAAACGCGTCAAAAATAACGAGGCAAAACAGTGTAAAATATGAACAAAAAACTAAAGGAAAAAGTAATTTTTATTTGTTTTTCATGTGAGGAAAATTCTATCAAAATTAAAGAAATTCTAGAAAAATTCTATCTTATTCTACCATTTTTTAATTGTTTTTATTATTCTGATTATCTCCTAAAACTCACTAATTCTATTAGCAAAAATCGATAAAAGAAATATAGAAGAATCTAAAGATTATGATCAGGAGGTGGGAAACTGATTCACGGTGCTGCAAACAATTGAAATATATAGGCATTAAGCCCAAACCGAACTCATTCCAATGGCAATTTTTTGTTCTAGCAACACAATCAGCTTGTACAAAAAAAAAATGTCTACAGGCTTGATGCAAGCATGATTCAATCCATGGCCCATTTTTGAATGGCAGTCCAACAACACATTCACAAACCTTTATTAACCATCTTATTATCAATTAATTTACAAAATAAAATAATTAAAGAAATAGTTAAAAGTAAAGTTGAAGGAAAGAAACAGATATGTTGCCGTTTGGAGTATTGATAGGGTTAAGGAGAAAGACTCTCTATCTTCCTCAATCGAAAGCGCTTATCTTCTCAAAACATCCGTCGCAGTGTCATCGACGCGCCTCCGTCTCAGCTTCTCGTCCCTCAATCTTCGTTGGTCTCTCTTGATCCCCCAATCTTCTACACAAGAGCTCTGTCGTGCGACTTCGAGGAGATGGCAACAACGATGATGCTGAGACTCAGGGATGTGCTTGTTCGGTACCTCGTCTTTTCTTCTTGAAATCATGATTTCACATTCTCCAGATCGAAGCATCCATTCACCTTAACTTTCTTCGTTGATTCGCTTCCAAAGGATTTCCGTCTTGTCCGATTTCTGCATATTCTCTTCTTCTTCTGATTTCTTTGAGTTTTAGTTATGTTATGATTCTTGTAATATTTCACGTTTTTCGTATCTGCTACAGATTGTTATGCATGATTGGCTTTTCTGAGTTATTGTTGTTGTAGTTTCGTGAGGGAAGAAGATGAAGGTGATGAGAGTTCAGAGAAGTGGAGAAGGGTGAAAGAATGGTGAAGCCGATGGAGAATGGTTTGTGTGGAGTTTATGGTGGGTGATTCAAAGTTTAGAATGTGAAGGTTTAGTGGTGAGTATGAAGGTTGTTAGAAGGTGTTTGAAGGTGTGTGATGTAGTTATTATAGAGAAGGAAGAAGAATGATTACGAAGGGGAGAGTGAGATGAGAGCAGGGAAAGATGAAGGTTGGTCCATGAAGATGAGAGTGAAGATGAAGAATTGAAGGTTTGTACCGAGAAAGAGAGTGAAGGAAGAGTTTCTGAGGATTTTCCCTCTTGGTGAGTTTTTTTCTTAATGTAAATAATTGTATTCATCTCCCTTTCTAATTGTGGTTTTTCTCTATTATGAATCCCTGAATCTGAATAATGATATCGTGTGCATAGGAGAGAATCATGGGAAAAGTTTGTTAGAAGAGTTTGTTATGAAGTTAGTTGCAAATTGGTTAGCTGTTAGAAATTCTTTTAGGAAGTTGTTATGAAACAGTTAGGATAGTTAGGGATTGGGTTTGAGCTGGATATTTTCTATTAGAAAATTCTGTTATAGGTAGTTTGAATATAGATGAGCTGGCATTAGTTAGTTAAAACAGTGATGGGTTAAAGGTTGAAAGTTAGTTATATTTCTGTTTTCTGTTAGTTCTGTAAACTTGTTATAAGCAGTTACTTGAAGTGAGTTGTCAAGTTGGTTAGAAAACTGTTATATCAGCATGAGAATTTGTTAGAGGAAACCGATAGGTTATAATTCTACTTAAATGTTGGTAGATGGAATTGATTAATTGTTTCTGATCTTTTCCATAATGTATTGCCGCAAGGTCTACGCGGACAACAAGCTTCTGTTTTTTTCTAGAGTCTCATTGTTAAAGCATTGTTTCACCATGTCTTGAGCTTCCCGTATTGTAAAATGGGAGATCTAAATGCAAGTCCGTTTGAATTCTCTAGGTGTCATACCAAATAGCCGTTGTGTGTCAGACTGGTGCAGATTCATTGGTTGTCCTTTCATCCATTCCCTGTATAACAATAATAAGACAGTCTAAAGCAGGAATATGCATCACAGACAATGGACAGTTCATAAGAAATGCACTTCTGGACAACAAATTAGCGAGGTCTTCAAAGACATTACTGCAAGTTATGTCGCTATCAAAGTTAGCATACATATCAGCCATAAATGTCTTTTGCCTGCAGAAGACGAAAAGGGCTTCCATGGCTACCTCTTGCTGCTGGTATGAAGCCCCATATCTACTTTGTGCAAGTCTCAAAATGACACAAGAAAAAGATGCTTCCAGCTGCAATTTGAGTTATGTACGAAGATGATGATCAAAATTGAGAACAATGCTACACACCATTGAAAGTATGAGTGCACTCAAATTGACAAACCAAATTGCATCAGATTATGAAAAAGCTCATCCTGAATTAAGCTTAGTAACCTTCGGTGATGCTGAATAGAAGGCCCTCTAATTTCTAAATCCAAATTGATTAAATTTAAAGAAAAAATTGGTACATCTTCAACAAATTCTATAGTGTTTGATCTAGGACCCAATTCTATATTCTCAATAACGTTCAGCAAAGAACACAAAAAGTGAAATATTTCCACCATGCATGGAACACCACATGGTTCAGTCATGAGATGCACATCATATGATGCACATTCCTTGCCAGTAAGTGTTATCATTGTGTTTTCATCCATCATAGTTACTGTCACAACACTTGTAGTATTTGAAGCAAAGTTTTTGGGTTGCGGCTGATTAAGATTGAAGATGAAGCTTAGTCATGAAGATGGACATGTAGCATGGAGTTTAGAGAAAATATTAGGTTTAGGATCAAAAATAGGTTTAGCTTTTTGATGATTTTACCATGTAATTGTCCTAGTAACCTTATGATGATTTTTTTACTTTAGAAGGAAATGTATCCTTGGAATCCACTTGAAACATGGCGATGTGATAAGATTTTGTAATGGTTTAAGAATTCAAATGAATGAAAGTATTGATATACCCCCATTTATTTAATTTTGAATTCCCAATCTTCTTTTGACCTTATGTCTTGATGTATTCCATGGTATGCCAAATCTTTCAATAGTAACTTGTATGAATCTATGTTCTTTTCTCTCTAACTTCATTACTTTGAATAACTTATCATGCCATGAACATCTTACCATGAAAGATATTTTGACAAATTAAAGAGATTAACATGTTTAAGTATCTTTTGATTCAACTTTAATTCGAAACCTTAACACTTCTTAAGAACTTTAGGCTTTAGCTTGAGCCAATTGAATGAAGTCCAACGAATGTAGCTTGTACCATAAGTGTACCAAGTGATTAAATGGATATCTTTTCCTCAAGGTACACGAACCCTATTTTTTGAATAGAATCCAATTAAAACCATCTACTTCTCTCGCATAAAGCCCATGACCATATGACTTAAGATTCAAGTAACAAGTGCCTCCTTATCTGATGAAGAAGAATCATTAGAAACCCTAGCTAGCCATGGATGATATCCCCGCCTGATGATCATAACTTCATAAATAAACCCTCTTGGATAATCATATGATTAGGGAAATAAACCCTAATTCATTTGGATATGACATGTATTAGGAGATACCTTTCAATGCTTAAGCTTGTAGCCTTTTTGGATGATACTTGTAGATGTCTTATGTTGTAAGCAACAATAGCCTCTCTTGTTTGAAGGATTCCAAAGGACGTTGAGAAGAAGAGCTTTCATCACATGACCTTGAGTATAATAACCCTGCAAAAGATGAGAAAACCCTAATCCACAAATGAACCCATAATGTACCTGTGAAGCCTTAGTCTTCATGTCCTTTGATTCCAAATGTCAATCCTTGTTATTAGTGAATGCATGATGTTGTTAAATGACCTAGTGGAACGTATGCAAATGAAATGAGAAGTACCAAATTCATAAGCCAGATAAAAGTGAAAGGGTAGGACAAATTTGGGGTATGACAGATGTCGTTATTTAATTGTCTTAAACCTAAGGGTGAGATTGGCGCTAGCCTTTCGAACATTCAAGGTAGAAGATGATTAAATACCAATGCCAAAATTTTGTTCTGAAAGAAAGTGTGACTGCTTGTTATCATTATTTTTTATAATATCTGTTAGGGAAAGAATTTTTCTATTTTTCTTGGTGAGAAAGATTTAAGGGTAACTTTTAGCGTAGCGACGATGCTAATACAAGACGAAGATTGGAATTATAACATAGCAATAGAGGCTAATGCAAGAGATATGATAACTTGTAACGTAGTGGTGATGGCAATACAAGGAAATGATAGACTCGTAACGTGGCAACAATGCCAATACAAGACAAAGATTGGACTGATAATGTGAAAACAATGCTAATACAAGGAAAAGATAGGTACGAAAAGGCAACATATAAGATCTATGAACGACCTAGGATCCTACAACAATCCCTACGAGCGATCTGCTAGAGGAGACCTATGGGCGATCTATAAGAGGAGAGCTAGACCTACGAGCGACCTACAATCCTAAAGCGATACATATGGATGATCTGCTAGGGGAGACCTACGGGAGATCTATAAGAGGAGATCTAGATCTACGGATGACCAACAATCCTAAAGCGATACCTACGGGCGATCTGCTAAAAACTAGGCCTACGGGAGACCTACAAGGAAATCTAGATCTATGGACGATCTAAACTCTTAAGGTAAGACCTACGAGCGATATACCAAAAAACTAGGCCTACGGGCGACCTAAAAGGAAATATAGATCTAAGGGCGATCTAAAATTCTAAGGTAAGACCTACGGGCGATCTACCAAAAAACTAGGCCTACGGGCGAACTACAAGGAAATCTAGATCTACGGGTGATCTAAAATTCTAAGGTAAGACCTACAGGCGATCTACCAGAAAACTAGGCCTATGGGATACCTACAAGGAAATCTAGATCCACGGGCGATCTAAAATCCTAAGGTAAGAGCTACGGGCGATCTACCAAAAAACTAGGCCTGTGGGCGACCTACAAGAAAATCTAGATCTATGAGCGATCTAAAATCCTAAGGTAAGACCTATGGGCGGTCTACCGAGAGAACCAGGCCTACAAGAGACATACAATTCTAAGAAAGTGAGAATATTGACTACGACACGATGATTGAAGATGCAAGAACGACCAAGTGTATTGCATTTGCTAGAATTTGAAGGACAGATAGACACAGACGAGTGTTTGGAATACTGACACAAACGAGTGTTTTGAGAAATGACATAGACGAGCGTTTAAAAAGCTGACACAAACGAGTGTTTGGAGAAGTGACACAGATGAGTGTTTAAAAAAAAGGGACACAGGCGAGTGTTTGGAAAACTGACATGGATGAGTGTTTAGGAAGCTGACACGGACGAGTGTTTAGAAAACTTACACAGACGAATGTTTGGAAGTATAATGTACTGACACTATTAGTTGGATATCGTGATGTAACGAAGGACGTCAGCTGAGGGTTTGGGAGCGATATCATCTTGTGGGGATGTATCACCGTCTTTGAATGATTCATGTTCTTCGTGTAAGGTACCCGATCTGGCCTATGCTTCGTATGCATGTTTGAATTTATTTTTCTGCAAAGATCCATTCTTATGGATCAGCTACGCACTTTTGAAGATGCAATGTTATGCAGTGATAACTATATGAAATGCAAAGAAATAGACTTTATGGGGATAAGTGAAGGCTTGCTGGGAACTATTTCTCATCACCGGGTTGCCAATACATATCAGCACTGGAAACCTGTGGTACCAAGGATCACTGGGGATACTGATAAGAATTTGCATTGGGGAGCTCATGATACCGAATATTATTGGTGACTCCGCTGAAGATTGAATTGCTGATGAAGCGAGTTTTCGGGTACGCCACTGAATTCTGAATTGTATTATTGGGGAAGAGATAATCTGGCCCGACTTGTCTACATCCTGAACTGTTTGAAGGATGGTAGAATTGAATATGCCGAAGAACGGATATTGAACACCATATGGATCTCTTTGAATACATGCCCCAAGTTTACGCCACACTGGGGAATTACCTCTTAAATCACTTGGCGATATAAAGATTGACATGTGTGATACGGTGGGAGAACTGACTTGATGTTTTACGTTTCGATCGCATTTGTGCGGATAGCAAGAGTCGCCACCAACTTTTCTTTTATCCAAAAAGGAAAGGTGAAAAAGCACAGGAAAGACCTTTAGAGATGTTTTCTTGAGTTCGGGGGGTAGATTATGAAAAGGGAAGGTATTAGCACCCTTTTCATCCATGGTTTTCCATGGGCTCTTAGTTACTTGCTAGATCAACTTGCTTTTGTTTGAATGTGTGCTTGTGATGTGGGTTTTGAAAGTATTTTGAAAATGTAACTTTGTAATGATTCTCGTTTCTATAAGAACGCATACAAAGTGTTTGTTTTGAAAATGTTTTCAAGATGAAAGTGTAGGTGTATAAAATGTTTTTTTGTTGTGAGAAAGCAAGCAACTAGGAGTGAATCTACCTACTCAAAAAGGTCTTTAAATGTGATTTTCCTTCTCCTTTAGATGTGGCTATCTTACCATTGATTTGGCAAGAAGCCCCATCGTTAGATGTGAAGGGACAGGTGTAGGGACGTTTGTATAGTTATAGAAGGCAACTCATGGAACATTTTAGCAGTGTTGTTTTAGGGACTAAATCGTTTACCGAAGGCAACATCGAGGGTCATCGAGGGACTACGATCTTTTATCGAGGGTCTTTGCTAAAACGCCCATGTTCGAGGGACATGACTTTTTTCCGATAGGCAACGAAATGGGATTACCCTAAGGGTGCATGTGTGAATAGTGTGTTTGATTGTATGCATTTTAATCTTGATTAGGGTTGTCTATTTTGTTGTTTTCATGTCTTGCCATACATCCTATTTACTAGCAATATATGAAAAGCAAGTAAAATGCGAAAAATAAAATCTAAGCTATTACATCGCTTTAGGGGGATGGGGGTACATATTTATGAATGGGGGTTGCAAGTAAAATTAAATCCTAAGTTACTATTACAACCATATCAAAATGGATCAGAATGTGCAAGAAACGTAAATTGCTTATTTATTTAAGAAAAGAAATAAGTTTTGTTTAAGAAAATATTTTTTGGTCTTTTGTTTTAAGAAATAAAGTAAAGCATGAAAAAAAATGTTTTTGGTGTTAGTTGATTAATGAAATAGAAAATGATAGCAAAAATAATGAGAAAAAAGGAAAAATAGAATCATTGTATTGCTGATTAAGGGAAGTCAGAAGTTCTGACTCTAGCGCACTGCAAAATAGAATTCCTGTTAGTAAAAAAAAAGTAGAGTCAGAAGTTCTGAGTCCACTGGGAGCACATTACATTTCAGAAGTTATGATACCACCGGCAACAGAATAGGTTTCAGAAGTTCTGATACCATTAGTAACAAAGTAGATTTCAGAAGTTCTGATACCACTGGCAGAACTTGGTCTCTCTTTTCATGCTTGCCAGAACATCTGCAACATAGTCATTTCTTCACAAAACAGAAGATGTGCATATGACAGTTATGGCAGGTTTCATAGAATTTCATAAACAAGAAATATCAGAACTATAAATCAGAGGCAAGTGTGAATTTGCTAATCCTAATTCTGAGTTCTAATTTCTTCCAGAAGTTCTGAAACTGATTTATTCCATACTTAGGCAGGCAAATACGTGAAACCTCAGAATATGTA